CATCAAGAATATCCCACGTTAACAATATTAATGGGATTGATATTAACGGGATGCTTTTACACCCATATGCAGCTATGCCACGGCCTTGGCATAGTTGTATATCAATGACTGAGTTCAGACAAATTCACAATGGAAAGTTAAAACGCCGTAAAAAAAATTTTTGGTTCAAGCAAACAGATCGTGAAGGAAGCCATGAATATGCCACTTTGCCGGAACAGGAAATTTGTTTCTTAAAAGAGGACATTTAGTGCCAAATTACCAGTAAAAATGATACCTGTGAATAAACGAGCGGCAGAGGCACCCAGTCGTAATTGCACAATAGCTGCAAACTGTATCGAAATCTGTTGATTTCCTGAAAATGTTATGTAGCCGATGTGTGATCCTGAAGGAAGAAGTACTTGCCCAGCTGACCAGACTGATTTGACCGTGAAATGCTCTTACATCGCACAGCTTGCTATACATCAGATCCGCATAAATCTTCTCTTCTTTTCGAGCTTGCAGAGCAATTGCTTGGATCCAGCGTATTGGCGCCCAGTATTTGTTGTAGCGCAGCTTAATCGCATCCAGCTTCTCCTTTTCCTCTTCCAAAAGAATCCCTACAATAAATTTTCTTCGTTCGACATCTGGAGTTCCAGTCCAGTCTTGACATAACATAAATGCTCATGTGATACACACCACGAAGCTGCATTGAAAAGTTGCCTTTCAAAAACACCTGCATCGATGAGGCTCTCAAGAGTGGGGAAACGTCTGCGAACCGGAACGCTGATGTCACGGAAGACAAGCACTTGAGTTAGGCACAGATAACGGACCAATGATCGACGCAACCATCGACTCGGTTCGTCTTCGCCTCGAATGTAATTTCCAATAAATATCGCGTACCTGTAAACATGGGTGTTTCAGAGCTCGTATTAGCTACGATAAGTAACCTTGTTGTCACTGTGAAGGTTGAGGATTCGATTCTGGCAGTAAAACAGTCAGTCCACTTTACAGCTCGTTCATTCGTTTTGATGGCAAACTGGTACTGACACATGCCAAGGAAACAGATCGCTACGATTTTGCTTCTGAGCACTTCTTGGAAAAAGAGCAAGTAATCGACAGTTTTGCAAGCGGGTGAAAGCTACTGATATGTTCTGTTACTCAAATACTTTCGTCTCTCATGGGCAGTGAATAAAGAGGGGATTTTTACTTTTTGATGCATGGAATTTGATGAAGCGCGTCGTTCTTTTCTAGCGAAGCGCACGTTGAATTTCTCTTTCGCATGCATCAATTAAAAAGTACTCTGACGAAATCACGTCTGTGTGTGTCCGTATTTTCGAATAATAAAGTCCTAAGTTACGAAAGCCTGCACAGATTTTAACTGTGTGCGAAGCCACGAGCATGAATTCAAACTTCTAGGTAGATTCTTCCCTACATAATTCCTTTTTACGTGATTCTACAATAAGACATACGGTTTCATGTCACATGTTCTTAGCCCTACAATCCTGCTCTGTTATCGTTCCCTCCTCTTTTAATTTTTCACCGTAACAATTCTTCTCAGCCTGATTTCGAATCAATAGGATTCCAAATCATGTTCGCAGCCGAGCCCTACTGAGGCAAAGCCATGCTGTATTTTAGTAACTCGTGGGCCAGCCCGTTTTTACGCTGCACCGCAACGGTTTGGTATGTA